GGGATAACTTCAGGATAAGAGAACATTATCCCTTAAAAGCCTCAGTTACTATCAGTATCTTGCTGTGAGACTCCTCCTTTGTTTTGTATTCAGAAGTATATGTGTTAGCTTTCTCCACTGACATGTTCTGCCAGTTTGTAAGTTTGTTTTATTTATTGACTTCTCTATTTATTTATTTATTTAATTGATTTTCTGGTGTCATTTTTTCACTTGGTGTAGTTATAATTGTATGTCTATGTATACAAAAATGTAATACAAAGCAGAGTTCTTGTTTCCAAAATTGTGTCACCTTTCTATAGCTGTATTGCAGCTGTGTTGGTCTAATATTAACTCTCTCTGCAATTAATTTCACTCTAATATACCATGACAGTGACTATATTTCTGCTAGAACTACTAACAGTGAAGAGGGAAAAGACTGTCCAACTTCTTGATATTTGTTGATGCTTTTTATTTTGCTCATTTCTAAAGTCTGGTGTTGAATGAGTATTGGTCTAAATCTAGTTTAATGCAATAATATTTTTTTTTGCTTTTGAAGGTGTCACATACTCTTGCATTAGGCCTAAGATCAAATCCTCTTTGAGCTAAATCCATTCTGATACAGCTTTTGCTACTAAACATATAAGCAAGGAGCATATATTTTATTTCAATAATACATTTAGTGTGTAGTACTTACTTGTGAAATATGTTTTATGTCTTCTGATTTACTTTTAAAAATACAAATACAAAGTGAAGAGATTTGAAAGTCATCCATCATTGGGAAACCATGTAGCAGCCACTTTCTAGATTCCTTTGACTGTACAAGGGACTTATTTCAGTTGTCTACATGTAGCCACATAGGGTGGTATCAGATGCCCTGTTATATTCCATCTGTCTTCCACTCAAGAGCGTCATAATCATCTAATTCATGAATGGGAGGAGAAAGACTTCTGGAATTTGAATTCCATCTAAAGAGATCCAAGCTTTCCTCATCTGTGGCTTTAAAAATATTTGTAGCAATGCTGTTTGTTTTCAATGTTGTAACTACTTGTGGTTCACTATCACTTGTCTTAATTTAAAAATTGTTTTAGTGTGACAGGCATAACAGAATCAGAATGATTTGGGTTGGAAGAGACCTTAAAGATCATCTGGCTCCAACCCCTGACATGGGCAGGGGCACCTCCCACTAGACCAAGTTGCTCAAAGCCTCAAAGCATTGCTCAAAACATGATTTACAGAAGGTAGTATTGAGTGCTTCCTTCTGCCATTTGTCATTCTTCCTGTTTAGGATGCCCATGTGTTCACAGGAAAGGAAGCCATCAACCCTGCTTCAGAGGGTTTTGGCTGACCCTGAATACAACTGTCAGGATGCCATAACCAGTCTTGTCTTCTTTTGTGTTATACACTTTAATAACATAAAACATAATACTAGAAGTATTATGAACAACCAACAAAATTAACCATCTGCCAGAAACTTGGTGGATTAGAAGCATATCAGGAAACAAATGTTTTTTGTTTGTATGTTTGTTTGTTTGTTTGTTTGTTTTTTTGGGGGGATAACTTCAGGATAAGAGAACATTATCCCTTAAAAGCCTCAGTTACTATCAGTATCTTGCTGTGAGACTCCTCCTTTGTTTTGTATTCAGAAGTATATGTGTTAGCTTTCTCCACTGACATGTTCTGCCAGTTTGTAAGTTTGTTTTATTTATTGACTTCTCTATTTATTTATTTATTTAATTGATTTTCTGGTGTCATTTTTTCACTTGGTGTAGTTATAATTGTATGTCTATGTATACAAAAATGTAATACAAAGCAGAGTTCTTGTTTCCAAAATTGTGTCACCTTTCTATAGCTGTATTGCAGCTGTGTTGGTCTAATATTAACTCTCTCTGCAATTAATTTCACTCTAATATACCATGACAGTGACTATATTTCTGCTAGAACTACTAACAGTGAAGAGGGAAAAGACTGTCCAACTTCTTGATATTTGTTGATGCTTTTTATTTTGCTCATTTCTAAAGTCTGGTGTTGAATGAGTATTGGTCTAAATCTAGTTTAATGCAATAATATTTTTTTTTGCTTTTGAAGGTGTCACATACTCTTGCATTAGGCCTAAGATCAAATCCTCTTTGAGCTAAATCCATTCTGATACAGCTTTTGCTACTAAACATATAAGCAAGGAGCATATATTTTATTTCAATAATACATTTAGTGTGTAGTACTTACTTGTGAAATATGTTTTATGTCTTCTGATTTACTTTTAAAAATACAAATACAAAGTGAAGAGATTTGAAAGTCATCCATCATTGGGAAACCATGTAGCAGCCACTTTCTAGATTCCTTTGACTGTACAAGGGACTTATTTCAGTTGTCTACATGTAGCCACATAGGGTGGTATCAGATGCCCTGTTATATTCCATCTGTCTTCCACTCAAGAGCGTCATAATCATCTAATTCATGAATGGGAGGAGAAAGACTTCTGGAATTTGAATTCCATCTAAAGAGATCCAAGCTTTCCTCATCTGTGGCTTTAAAAATATTTGTAGCAATGCTGTTTGTTTTCAATGTTGTAACTACTTGTGGTTCACTATCACTTGTCTTAATTTAAAAATTGTTTTAGTGTGACAGGCATAACAGAATCAGAATGATTTGGGTTGGAAGAGACCTTAAAGATCATCTGGCTCCAACCCCTGACATGGGCAGGGGCACCTCCCACTAGACCAAGTTGCTCAAAGCCTCAAAGCATTGCTCAAAACATGATTTACAGAAGGTAGTATTGAGTGCTTCCTTCTGCCATTTGTCATTCTTCCTGTTTAGGATGCCCATGTGTTCACAGGAAAGGAAGCCATCAACCCTGCTTCAGAGGGTTTTGGCTGACCCTGAATACAACTGTCAGGATGCCATAACCAGTCTTGTCTTCTTTTGTGTTATACACTTTAATAACATAAAACATAATACTAGAAGTATTATGAACAACCAACAAAATTAACCATCTGCCAGAAACTTGGTGGATTAGAACTGAGATAGTGGTGATTTATCTCTCCTATACTTGTACTTCTTGGGGAATTTATGACTTGAACACATAGATTCTGCCTCCTGAGCTGGGAAGAAATATTGGATATACTATTCTAAAAGCAGGTGGGAGAGATAAAGGAAATTCTGTGGAACTTACTTGACATTTTTAGTCAGCTATTCTTGTCTCAACAGTACATAACACACCTTTGTCACCAGCAGGCAAACATTTATGCTCTGCTGTCTTTGGTGTTGATATGGCCTCAGCTGACAATCCTTGAGGCAGAACTCTGAATCTTCAAGTGATACAGAGGACAACATCAAAATGAAGGGATCTCACAGGTGCCTAACTTCTGTATTGCCCTTGTATTAAAAATTCAGTGAAAAGTGGTTTTACACTACATGAGAAATAATTGTTTGTGCAGCACATGGATTGACCTCTGAATTCTTTTGCCTGTGTGTGAACTTTTAATTTCAGTATACAGAGAAAGAAAATTACCTTCATAAACAATGAAAGAAGTAGTATTTTATAGTTTATGTAAGTTTGGATTTTTTTCTAATCTACATTGGTATTATACAGCACACAAGGTAAATATTTATTCTGAACTACCAGTTTTTCTCTCTGGTAAGTGCCATTTTGGGACCTTGACTTCAGTGTGTGATCCTGGTTTTGATATGCAAATCTTGGCAGTTGCAACCATGAAACTCAGACTGCTTTGCCTAGCAGAGACCTCAAGAGACTTCTTAGTCATATTGCAACTCTTAGGCATCATAACTAGAGTATCTGTGACATTCTTGAACTGCATTTAAACATTTAATGAAGGAACACAATAGCATTTTCAAGCCACTTGAGATTGTTTTGACCATCCTTACAGTCAGAAAGCTTTCTGTGTACTCAAGCTGAATCTTCTCATGCCTTGCTTGCAGTTTCCACAGGAAAACCAAGATGATTATTTCATTTTTCCAGTCTTTTAGTCAATTCTTCCTCTTTCCTCTAGTGTTACCCATTGGTTATGTTTTAGAAGTCTCCATCTGGTTGCTTTCTCTTAACTATTATCTGTTTGTCTTCTTCTTTCTAAGAGATTTTTGGTCAAAATTGGCATTGTTGACTGCTTCTCTATCTGCATTGATTTTAAATCAGAACATTTCCTTTTTTTTTTTTTTTTTTTTTTTTTTTTTGTATCATTGGTTTTTAAATAAAAAATTTTCTTTTTTTTTTTTTTTTTTTTTTTTTTCTTGTATCATCTATCAATTGCCTGAGTGGGATTTTCATTTACTGAAGTAAAAGTTTAGTAGTTGGGAAAAAGTAAAACCTAAAAACTACATCCTAAAACTGATCAATTTTTTCTCTTTTTCATGGAAAGGCTAGTGTCAGTGCCATGGTTTCGGGGGTTGAAAGAACATAGAGAAAATATATTGGCATGACATGAGAGGCTGACTCAGTCAGTTATTGACTTCTCACATTGCATGCTGAGTCCAACTGAGAGAAAGGGCTGGAGCATTCTTTTTAAAGTAAATTTATTTGACTCCAGGAGGGAAGATTCTTACATTGTTTTAGTTTAGAGTTCACTCTAAGAAAAACATCACTGGGCTTTTTTCTTTTTTTGGTAGTTTGCCCCATCAATAAAACCAAAGTTACTGAATCTTCTAAAGATTGCTAAGGCTGCTGATGTAGAGGCCCAGCCTCAAGGATGACCATGTAACTGTCAGTGTCAAGTGAAAATGTGCATAGATTTCAGATCTGTTTCTGATTACTTTGTTAGTCCATGTGTTTAAGGAATTTGCAGACTTCTACAGGCATAGAAAAAGAAAATTACTATGGATGATTTCTAGATGGTTGAGTGAGAAGGGAATGCTCCATAGAGCTGTAATCCCCAGGTATCTGCATATGGTTTTGCAACACTAGAAGTCCATTTCTGGGAAATACTGACACTGAAGAAAGCTTTCCCCAACTGCTTATTGTCTGTTTTCTTTCAATCAATTGCAATTTTTTGTATTGTTTTTCTCCCCAGGTAGCAGCTGCTGGAGGACATCTGAAATTTACAGTCTCCTATGACTTCACAGAGGAAGAAGAGACAGCTCAATTAATGGTTCAATCTGATGTAATAATAGAGGTAAAGTGATTGTATTTTCAGAAAAAAAAACAACAACAAACAACAAAAAACACCAAAAAACCACAACAAAACCAAAACAAATAAAAAATCCACAACAAAAACCCAAAACCCCAACTAACAGAAGAAAATTGTCTGCTTCTTTAAATGTTCAGCATGGAGCCTGGTGGTTGATGCCACAAAACACCAGGGTGCACATACTTCCAGCTAACTTATAGTATTAGAAAACAGACACTCTTTAGAGAACTGAAAATTTCAGTATCTCAAAAGGAGCCTCTGTCAGTATTGCACTGGCTTATAAAACCATATTCTTCCAGTTCATCAGGAAGAATGAAGAAATAAAATAATTAGTGCTTTGAGAAAACACTTTCAGATCCTTTCAGAAGCCCTGTTTATGCACAGCCTGATGTTGAATGAAGCTTTTGCTTTTGCAAAGCCGTGGCACTAGGTTTTAGCTGAGTAACCTAAACATTCTTCTACACTGGCTTTCAACTTTATCAGGCAAGCCCATTTCAGGCTTAAGAAAGGTGAATGTTATTCTTGATATTTATTATTATTTTCAAATATATTATTCAATAGATCTTATGTGCCAGATGGCTACAGATAGAGCTTTTTCCTGACTTTGTTCATATTTAAATATCTCTCTCTCATGCCCCTATCAAGGGAGGTGACTTGAGAATCAGCACTGCAAAAGAGGGGATTCACCTGCAGCCTTCTGAAGAGCACACTGAAGAAACTGTCCTGAAACCAGAATCTTTCTCTGTGCATGGTACTGATGTTCCAGTCAGCAGGAGGGAATTCATGACCATCCTTGCAAATGTAAAGAGAATCCTCCTAAGAGCCACATACAGCTATGGGATGAATGCCATCTACAGGTGAATGTAGGAAGCGTGTCAGCTTCTCAAAATACTAATTTTCCCTTTTCAGAGAACTAAGGTGATGTAATTTAAAACACAGAAAGTTATTATAATGAAATTCCTAGCATTCGTTTACACTTTCAAACAATTGTTAGTATTTTTTTCATGTTGGAGGAGGAGAGGCAACATAAAGAAGCAGCCTTGTAAGAAAATGAGTTCACATGGATTATTAAGGCATGGATGACAGTTCTATAAATACGTTTATTTTGTGAACAGTGCAATTCCCATGTATATAATAGAATCATGGAGTGCAGTAATGACATGTTGAAGTAAGAGATTATATATTGCTTATATATTTTTTCCCCATTTAATGAGCATAAAGGGCCACATTAACAGTGGACCAGAGAGTAACATTCTAAGTTTCTAAGCTGGAAAAGTGTCTTGAGGGGAGTTTTCTATGTTTTCAATCAGTACCACACACAGAACTGACTAATCTCAAAGCCTTTCCCTTGATTTGTGTCAGGTTGCTGCTGGGACTGCTTAAAACCACTGATTTAGTGTGAATGCTCTTAAGTCTTCTGATAAAATGAAAGACATGTTATGTGAGACAGCACAGTTGTTCTCTCTCAGTGTCTGCAGTGAGGTTGAACCTGTAAAGCTCATCTTGCATTTAAGATTCTTATAAGTGCAGGAGCAAATACTCCAGGTGGGCTAGACAGCCTCTCTCCTGATACTGTGTGACTGCACTCTGTCTGTACATTAATATTTAGGTGGCATAAATAATATTTTTTAAATATGCAAATGCAATGGAATTGACTGCACAGGAGTGTTTTATTCACAAGGTATGAAACCTGAAATGTTCTCTAACTTACACATTACTTGATTCAGTAACATAAGGCATGTGGAATGGAGGGAGCTGGCAGCATATTAGTGATTATTTCCTGAGAATATAAACACAGTTTTTGCTACTGTGAAATTTCTTAAGCAATCCAATCATCATTTGAATACTTAGGTAATTAAAATACATCCTAAACTGAAAGGCAGGTTGTGTCAACAGTAGCAGTTTTTTTAATCTGAGCTTTGGCAGTGTGCATTTTTTCTCTGCAAGAAGAACTAATCTTTCTTCAATCACTTTCTCTTTCTGTGGTTAATTAATATCACAGTTTGACTCAGGTCCGACAACAATGCTCTCGATCCCCCCTCCCCCCAACCCAGGTAGGGAAGGAGAGAGAGAAAAAGAGAGAGACTTGGCTGGATTGAAAACTAAACTACACAGCTTTAATTAAAATACTAATGAATGATACAAGAAAATATATACAATTATATACAAATATATTCAGGAATGGGCAAAAAGCCTCTCGCCTCCCCCCACCGCAGCAACTCCCACAGCACTTCCCTGAACTGGGAAGAGTCCCGAGGAATCCCGGAGCTGCTGCTGGAGAAAGCAGAGAGTTATGGGGGTCACGAGATCTCGAGCCTAAGGGTCGACGGTGATGGATGAGCAGAGTCCTCCCTGGACGCCGGCCATGGACCGAAGAGAAGGGAAGAAGAAGAAGGAAGGAAGTTGTCTTCTGTGATCTCTGACCTTCCTTTGAGCTTACGTAGATATATGGAATGGAATATCTTTGGCCAATTTTGCTGTCTGTCTAACTCAGCCTCCTACGGGGGGGGTCACAGATCTCCCCATAGTGTCTGAGCCGGCAGAGTGCAGGTGCAGCCTTGAAGCCTCAGTAGTTAGAAAAACATTCCAGTGTCTTATCAGCCTAGCAGAGCACACTGTTGCTAGTTACAAGAAAGCTCACTGAAGGAAAAAAAAAATCAGTAAAAAGAAAAATTGGCTTCATCCTGGCTCAAACCAGGACAATACCTCTCTGTAAATAAATTTGTGAATCACAAGTATTTTGAATTTGAGCTAAACTGTCTCTTAATTTGCTCGTTTGCTCATCAGTTTTGCATCTTCTTGCATCCAGTTTGAAAACCTTTCATGGCCCATCACCTTCCCATCCTGCTGTTAGAGGAGAGTCAAACCACCAGGCCAGAACTCATATTTTATGTGCTGTGAGACCATCAGAAGCTATTAATCCACACCTTACAGCTGAGACTAGTGTGAGCTCAATGAGTGCTGTTCCTCCACTCTGTTCTCATTCAAATAAAATCTAAAACCCCCATTAGTTAAAATTTTACAAACTAAAGGAGTGCAGGAGCAATTCTGAGGAGAACAGTAGGTCTTTCAAGCAATGGTGTTTTAAAGGAGATATGATTGACTTTGTTAAGGCCAAAGGTGTTACTAAGCATAATGGGAAATGCAAACTTTAGCTGTCAGTTGTTTACACGCATTTGTGTACTAGCATTTGCAGTAGAATGAGAAGGGGAGCTTTCCTACAAAAAAAATCTTGGGTAGGCATTTAAAATCTGTGAAGAAAATGCATTGCTGGACATGTAATGGCTCTGTCTTGCCTCTTCTGTGAAACAGTGGAAGTGGAATGGTTCAGATCTACTGTAGATGACAACATAGAGCTCAGTCAGCACACACATGTAGAACTGGCTCAGTCTGTATTTTGTGCCTTGTAAGAAAGAAGTGACAGGCCTGTCAGTGGCATGTTTGGAAGACTGTGCATGGCCTCCTGTGTCCTAGACTACTGCTTCAGCTATTTGGTCATGTGTGATGCCTCCCTGTTTTGCAGTCTTGTTCATATTCAGCCTTTGGAACATTTTAGTGGTGTGTTATGCATAACTTTCTGAAAACATGTCTTGGAAATATTCTTCAAGGAGAGTTCCAGCACAAACATAATTTATGCTTCACAGGTTAGTGGACACCATATTCTCAGATATAGTGACATTACAGTTGGGAAAGTTGGTCCCTTCATGACAGTAATTTAAAAGGGGCTAGGTCTGAAGTAATTTTGAAGAGTGCCTTTGTTGCTAGAAATGGTTTTATATTATTAGTACATCTCTGTGTTGTCTCTTACCAGAGAGGAATGCAATGGTTACTGTGTTACTGTGATTACCATCAGCATGTCCAGAAGTCTCTGAAAATAGTTTTCTCTGAAGCAAACACATTTTATTGAGCTCTGTCAGGGTGCTCGTTGCAGTTTGGTGTGACAGAGGGGACAGTGTGAAATTCCAATCACAATTAAATTAATTGGATTTTTCATTTTTTTATTTAATTGTAGGAATCATAGTTTTACCCATGATTTCTTGGGTGGAGTTAAATCTTAGAACAGTGCATACTCACAGTCACATGATGTAGCAGCAACAGCACCTACTGTCATGCAGCCCAGCTTATGATCTCTTGCTATAGGCATATTGCTGATTTTCAGTGTATGTCTCAGTTCTGACTTTCTGTATTCTCTTTGACTTTCACATATGCCAAGACATAACAGGTGCAAAGCTGTGCTCATAACTCTAAGATCATGCAAAACAACATTCTTCACTATATTCTGCTCCTTTAGTATTGCAGGGAAAATGTCCATACCCAATGAACAGGATATTCTTTGGCAGATTAAGGACTTCTGTTGATTATGTTTTTGCCAAAGAAATAGTGCAGAACTAAACCTTATGAACTTGAGAGGGTTTTATTGTTTTTTAAACAGGTATGTGAGGTGGACAGGTGGATATTCCACTGAGAGACTAAAGAAGGTCTGACAGAGAGACAGAAATATTACAGGGTTATTATGTCCTTCATGAATGACAATTTCTGCCCTAAAGCATCAGCAGAATTATGCAACATACTAATTAGAGATTGCTGTATTAAGGAACCTGTTCATTCAAATACTGAATGTTCTCAAAATGGATGGTGGCACCACATGTGTAAGGATTTCCAAGGGTGCTGTTACAATCTGTGCTTGAGAAGAGGCCAGAATGGAGGCATTGCAAGACTAGGCAGCTTCCATGCAATGATGTATAAAAAGACTTTAAAAATTAAATAGAGGTGTCTCCAGTTAACAAGAGCTTAAAAATTATATTTTCTCCCTTTGTTTAGTTTAGCCTCCTAGAAACATTAGTTAATCAATAGCACTTTCAAGTAGTTTAACTAAACAGTGTTAATGCAGTATTGGTGAGTTTGTCTCAAGCATGTTTTTGAGAATATTTTTGGGTAACTTTATGCTTAGAATGTTATTATTGTTCTGTGGCACAATTAGGAAGCTTCCTCAAATAAGTGGGCTTTCATTTTGATGATGGACCACTGGAACAGGCTGTCCAGGGAGGCTGTGGAGTCTCCCTCTCTGGAGACTTTCAAGACCAGTCTGGATACATTTCTGGGTGACCTGCTCTTAGTGATGCTGCTCTGGCAGGGTGGTTGGACTCCATGATCTCCAGAAGTCCTTTCCAATCCCTACCACTTTGTGATTCTATGATTAAGTAAGATAAAAAATGAGAACACAGAAATGTAGCAGTCAATTTGAAAGTGATTACAGCTTCTGGGATTAAATTGAGATCCTTCTGTAACTTGACAGATCTTCGAAAGTGTTGCAGCTAATTCCATCTCTGGTAGAAGCAACAGGCCACAAAAAGACATTTTATCATTTAGTTTAACCTAATACTGTTAGGTTTTGCTTCAAGGAAAGCTTGTGGTTCAAAAAAAAACTTCTATTACTAAACTTTTATTAAAACTTTTTCTTCAGTTTTAATATTCAGAGTGGCCACCAATGGTGAGTGTTGTAGACACTCAGATGGTCACTGGAAACTGGTGCTAAAGGTAATGGAGTATTTGCAACCACATATAGAATCACTGCTAGATGTAAGGAGAAAGAGGGAAGGAAAGGCCAAAGGTTTTCTTCCATATGCAGAATTGGCTTCAAGACAAATGAGCAAGGATTGGGTCAGCACTTCATGTGCCTTTTGTAGCTGATGTGATTCAGCTGCCTGGCATAGCAGACAGTAAACTATGCTGATACTGCCTGAAACGTCCCCTTCCCTTTTAATCTAGTTTGTTTTTAGAAGTCAACAGTTGCCTGCTGACAGTAACAGTCAGCTTAAATATCTGGTCTCGATGTCGAATCTCAGATTGTTCATGCATCTCCAGGATCCAGTGCCTCATTACTGCCAGCATTATGTATTTTAATGACTGCAGAATGGCACCAAGGAATCAAAGTTGCAGCATCAAAATGGGAGGAAAAAAATCTCTGCAGCTTTCTTCACTGAGTAACTGTTAATGCTAAAAACTGTTAAACACATTAAAATCCCATTTAGCAAATAGCACAACGTAATGAAAATTAGAACACTTCAGTGAATACAAATGTGGGATAATACTGGGGGGGATGTTTCTGTGTGTAAGTGCCTCTCTTTGTTCCAAGATCTGTGCTGAGAGAAAACTAGCCATAGTTCAAACTATATGAATAAAGCTTGGCCTTTTACTAGTAACTTGTTTCTTCGTGTACAGATTTTTCTCCTTATATTGTTAGATTTTTTTTACAGCTCAATTAATCACCATTTGATATCTAATATCCTAAAGATTGTTTATCTTACTGTAAGGAAAACTCAAATGGATGATTGCAAAATAAGCATGCAGCAGTAGAGCAAAGGGGAGATATTGTAAAGTGAGAGAGATTTTAATGAAGATCCGTATAGTAACTTGGGTTCTTCTCTTAAAATACTTTCAAGAACCTTTTACAGATGTTCTAGTATCACTGAATTAGATACAAGTTTCTAACTCCATAATCCACAATAGTTGTCCTTTCAAAGTCCAGTCATAGCCCTGGGGACGGTGTAATTTCAGTTTTTCTGAAGCTCCCACCCTAATTTCAGACAGCTTCCTTTTTTTCTCCTTACTTTTCATGTCTGACTTATTGAGATTAGTCCTGAAACTGAAGGAGGAAATATCCTTTCTTAACCTTTCCTCCAACCGCTGCAGTAACAACAAAATATTTTTCTTGGATGTTTTCTTATCCAAGGCTGTCCATATAATTTTCAGGATTTTTTGGCAGCAGATAAATGCTTTAATATGGAAGGAGAAAAAATTTGTTTTACATTTTCCAAATAAAATGTATTATCTTTAAATAAATGCATGTCAGAATAGAAAGGTATTTTCTACTGAAAAAGACTTTGAAGAGGCTTTTCAGGTAGCTCTAGTAATCAAACACTCTGTTAGGTTTGCTGGCTGAAAGTGGAAGTCATTGAGCCTCTCTAATGCCTTAATGGTCCTTCTGAATTCTCAGAAGAATTAAATCCCCAAATCCCAATTTTGTTCCCCAAACAGATACTGTTAAATTAGGTACATCTGTTTTGCATACTACCTGCAAGATTGTCAAAATGCTTTTGTTGTCTCTCTCATCATGCTTCCATATTTTTTAGAATGAAAATCATGTTCATTGTTTAGCTAAAAAATGCCTGTTTAGCAAATGTCTAGCATTTATATTTTAAGGGTGATTGTTCATGAAACTGAAAATTCTCCAACTCTGTCTCTTCTGTTATTTGGGAAACTAAGGTACATGGTAGAAGACTTTTCTTTCATGTACATACTTTCTTCTTTCATGTACATAATACTTGGACAGACCTGAAATCTTTTTCAGAGGTCAAGTCTCTAGAATAAAAATACCCTATAACTTAGCAATATAATGTTTTAGAAAGCTGGAGTAATGGTTTATACATTTTTAATATGCTGCTGAGTGTAAATTTGCTATATATACAGCTACAAAGCAAGCTGGCACTTGTGGCTTGCAGGCCAGGAGTGGCCTTCCGTCTACTGTTACATTGCTGTGAGACTTTTTTCATCTATTTTTGTCAATGTGTGTCTGATCATAGTCTCCCTCACATGATGGACAAAAGTAGTAACAAGCCTACAGACATGTAGTTTAGGAAGAAATAGTCTACTAGGAAAACCTCCTCCTTTTGAAACAGGAAAACATAAACAAGCCACCAAATGTCACTATACACCATTTGCTGCATCCCACTGCACTTATGCTTCCACCTAATTTACTATGTTAACTGTTTTATTTATGTTATATGCAGACTAAAAAGTGTTAGCATTGAAGCTGCTGACCACGCTTCCTCTGGGAGAAAGGTGGCATCTGCAGTGGAGTTATGTGACTGTCCCCCAGGGTATGATGGTACCTCGTGTGAGGTGAGTATCACAATACACCCTAGAGCAATTGTGCTGGCCCTGTGATAGTTGTAGGCAGCCAATGGCCCTTGTTGGTAGAAAATAGTGCAAGAGCCATCTGCTCCCATTAGGGATTTGGTATAGCTTGTCTAGTTACTTTTATTTTTAGGTGGTATTTGATAATTTTTGAAATCTGAAATACGGTGATTTCTAAGTTGTGAAGACATTTCTGTTAACAAAAAGAAAATGGAAGCAGTATTTATACTCCTTGGCCAGTTGGCATTACAGATTAATGAAACTGTTACAATTAGAAGGAAAATGGCAGTTATCTGACCTGTGCACAACAAAGCTGGATCAAATTATTTGAGTTAATGTGGTTGAGTTTCTTCTTTTGCTTTCTGAGGGCTTTGCCGTTTGCCTTGGAGCCTTTTAGGATTGCATGTGTGCTCTTGTGAGGATTGTTTCACTTTAGTTGGTCCTGTTACAGATAATAACATACACACCTGCTCAGAAAATACTGACTTTCCTAACAAATTCATTAGTTCACACAGAATGTGTTCATACAAGTATACATGTCATTAACTAGCTCATGTGGGCATAGCTTGGGGTAACTAGAAGCCAAAAAAACAATTCTTCAAAAGCTTTGCCTTTAAGGATATAGTTTCAAACACCAAGATGCTCTGCTTCACAAAACTACAAACAGTATGCCATTTACACAGGCACTCTAGGCATTTGCTTGTCAACTCTCTTTTTCTTTTAAATCTTCCATGCTTATATGTGATATTTAGGGCTTAGAGTCTAGTTTCATGCCAAATGTGGTTGCTTTTTACTGGGGCTGGATAAACTAATGTAGAAGGAAGGCCTGAAGGAATGAATGGATATTCCTATCATTTTCAAAATGGTGTAGAAAGAAAAAAAACCCTCAAAACAGAACATTTTTTTACAAAGCTGGCCTATCTTGTGATAACAATTACACAGTATATTTTACTTTCCATGCCTTTATTCACTGAATTAATTTTTCAGTAGTCTTTTGTAGCAGAGGTTCAACATATGATATGCATTGAACAGATGTGCTTTATAGAAAAAAAAAAAAAAGGCAAAATATTTTAGTGTTCTGAGTACATGGGTTGTGCTTTTTATAACAAGGACAAGCAAGAAAAAAAAACACAAAAAAACACTGAAGTTTTACATTTCCAGGTGAACTGACAGTGGAGAAAGTACAGAAAGATACATTGAAAATGTGATTTTTTTTAATTAATTTTTTTTTTTAGAACACCATATTTGTTTCTTCTAAATACTTTTGGCCTTGTCCAGCGCTTTGCTTCTCCCAGTTTCAACCTAGCAGACTTCCATTTTTACTGATTTAATGCAGGTTTTCAGTCTTATTTTCTGTTCTTAATTTAATTTAATACCTGTGTTTGTTTCCTGCATAATGGTGCTGTGGTACATGGCATAGAAGCTGCAGCACTGAAACCAACCATTATTTACTTATTTTCTTGCTGTGGACATTTTGGCATGATCAGCCTTCAGAAGGCAACCAATCCCATTGAATATATGCTGCCTCTTATGAGATTATTCAATTACACAAATTTTGAATAAATTTTCTACAAGATTCTAATAAAATAAAATTGTTATAGAATGGTTTGGGTTGGAAGGGTAATAAAGATCATCTAGTTCCAAGCCCCCAGCCATGGGCAGGGACACGTCCCACTAGACCAGGTTGCTCAGAGCCCTGTCCAACCTGGCCTTGAACACTTCCAAGGAGGGGGCACTCACAACTTCCCTGGGCAACTTGTTCCAGTGTCTCACCACCTTCACAGTAAAGAATTTTTTGTAATGTCTAATCTGAATCTCTCCTCTTCCAGTTTAAAGCCATTACCCTTTGTCCTATCACTACATGCCTCTACAGGGCAATTTCTTTTACCTGTTTTTGTTTTCTAGTTCTTATAATTTCTGAATTGTATTTTTTTATTATTTATGGGAGTTTTTAGAATGAGAAGAAGGAAAAACAAGGATAATGTCTCAGGTTTTGAAATGGTTTTTAAAAAGAATCGATTAATTTCGTCTTCAAATTATTTTCATGCTTTTCAGGAGTAAGACAAAAAGAGACTGTCTATTTTTGTAAAGGAGAATTTTCATGTTAACCTTTTTGGAGAACGTCTGTGAAGGGGAATAGATTTTCTTTATTAAATGATACTTTTAGTATTCTATCACTACCAAACTTTCTCTGTGTATTAGCCAGGTGCTTTTGAAGGTCAGCACTCTGTCATGCACTTTATTATATTATGCAAAATCCTTAGATCACATGAGCAGTCTTATTGAGGAAAGATAGTTTGCAAAAACTATAAAGCCATTTGTGAGATAGATATATATTAAGGAAGACTGCTGCTTGACATCTTATTATGTAGAAATGAAATAGCTGAATTTTTGCTGATGAATCACAGTTGTACGATGTCACCTTTCCTAAGGAAAAACCTGGCCATGCATTTAATATTGATCTGAATTTAACATTTAAAAAATAAAACATCAGAGATTCTTTTTAAAGGGAATTGGCTATCGTTTCAGAAGCAGAATTTGTAAATAAGAGGTTGGCTTTGTTTTTATGCTTTATTTCAGTGTAGCCTTTTGTTAGACCCCAAAAAGAAAGACTAAATGGGATTTTAATTGCTCTTTGCAGCTGAACTTCTCAGAAAAATTGTTTGTTGTTCTGAGGTTTTCTTCCAACCTTTTTTTCTCCTTCAGCATTTTGCCTTCTGGTTATTTTCCAATCTGTACCTCTTGCTTTGATGCTGTCATATTTCAGTTCTTCATTTCTCTGCTTTATTTTACCATTTCAAAATAATTATTAAGTTCAGGCTTCCTCTAATCTCACACCTGCCAAGAAGTCTAAGGTCATTGCAAAGCCACAGCACCAGGAAAAGCAACTTTCTAGAGAAATTCTGCTATTGTTACTAATCAGAAAAGAATGTTTTTGTGTGTGCAGGTGTGAAATTCAACCATATTTAAAAAATCCCATTATTTTCCCTGTTCAAGTGAGAGTTTAATGTTTTTATCTACCTTGCAGTCTTGCTGGCCTCGACACAGGCGTGTGAATGGCACAATTTTTGGTGGAGTCTGTGCACCATGTACATGCTTTGGTCATGCAGAATTGTGTGATGACATCACAGGAGAATGCCTGGTAAGTGTCACTGCAGGGAACTTGGTGGACATGATCAACATCAATTAAATAACCTCTATAATTATATTAATGACCTCTGAGAACTGAAATGTTCAAGGAGAAAAAAATGACAGTGATTAACAGAAGGGTTCTTTATGTTGAACTGTTGCTGAAGTTAAGGATCCCCTCATATCAAGAGATGGCAGCTTCTACAGTGAAAGAAAAGGATTTTAGAATTTATGTTTTTAAATAGAACCTATAGTATAAGGTATGGCAAGCAGAAAGCAGCAAATATATCAATCTTTTTCCAGGCAAGATTTATCTCCCTCTCCCTTCTGTCTTCTGCAGTGTATTTAATTTCTAGTATGTAACAGGTAACTTCATAAATTCTGCTCTAGGATGACAAGAAGATACTGTTAATGGCTTCCTTCATCTAAATTCCTACAAAACATGGAAGAAACACTTAATAACTTGTGCTTAAAAATAACAAAAGCATATGATTTTGGCTAAATCGACTTTTTTTTTTTTTTAATTATTATTTTCCCCCATAGGCTATGGAGATTTTATGTAGTTGCCTACTAATTCAGTAATTAAATCTGTGATATTATCCATAGCAAGCCTACCAGCACACCATTATTTCCAGCCTGTTCAATCACCTTTTGGAATGGGTAAATTATGCTGAATAGACTGTTCTGATTAACTCAAGGGCATTTTTTAGTTTTATATTGTCTGACATGGCATGAAGCTTGAAACAACATTTCTCATTTCATTAGTCTTGCAGAAACACAATTTGAGCCACTGCCAGTTTGGTGGGATATCGTATTTTCATTTCCCTGCAGATTTTCAAGCAGACTCTATATTGTGCATGTTTCTAAATGTTCTCTTTTAGTTCCTTAAGAAAAGCTGCTGGGAAAAATCAAGAATAAAAATTCAAGCTTATTTCAGTGTAATTTAGCTCTTAGAGTTGTCACTGGTCTTTATGTTTTGCCCATACAAGTTGAATTGCATTGCATTACAAAATAATATATCCTTAATGTGTGGATCAGTGAATTTTTCCAATAGCTTCTTCATGAAGGGAAAGTTAAAATTATCATCAATTTAATTATACTATAAACCTTAAAGAACTACCTGGGACGAAAAATATGTATGACATGGCAGTCGTGTTTTGAATCCTTCACTTACACGCAATGAAAATATTTCTCACTAGGGTAATACAGATTTGTGTTCCTCAAGGAAGATAAAATTTATTGCATTAATGACTGTAGCCTTCAGCTATAAGTTCTATAATATATGTGTGGGATAAAATAAATTAACAGTAAAGGAAGGGAGAATGCTGTTTAAGTTCTATCATAACTGTCAACTATTTTGCTTGGGGGTGCAAAGCCAGATGCAAGTTCTGAGTTTACTTCCTCCATATGTCTTGAAGTTTTAGCCCTTGCACAAGTTACCTCTTGGTTTTTGTCTGTAGCACTGGCCTGAGTGTGAGAGAAGAGAGTATAGTTGCATCCTGAAGTGCTTTTGCACTTGTCAGCCGGTGTGAACTACCGACTGAGACAGTAGAGCTCCCCCTTCTGATGTTTCAAAGGGACTGGTGAAAACATAACAGCACTGACAAGTGGAAAATAACCAGTTGAAAATGTACTTTAATCTATATGCGTTACCAAACATTCTTTATTTTATGTGTTCTGAGCTTATACTAGATCATCCTATAAAGACGAGGCATGCAGGGAGCTTAACATCAGTTCTGGATTTCCTTGCAGCTTACTTTGAAAATACTGTAACTGAAGTTAGATTGGTTAGTATCCATGCGGGCTATTAAATGCTGCTATTCATTTTGAATCATAAACCTTTTGAAGTGAAAGGGAGAGAAGTCTGAATGCTGAAAAACAGAAATATTTCACATCAAAGGCATCCCTTCTATTGAGCTTTACACAGCTTTTTGGCCTCCTTATTATTATTCATGGTGTTTTTTCAGTAATACAACAGACAATTTAGGCACCTAATTTACTGATATGATACTTCCTTTTGCTTTTCCTTAGCTTTGAAATGTAGTTGAAAAGCAGCTGAAATATGTTTTTGACTCATGATAAAAGCTCAAATCATCTGTTTCAACATAGGCCTGTATAAAAAGCTCATTTTAGAGCATATCTGCTTTTGCAGTAACCTGCAAAGCCCTTTGATCCCCACAGCAACCATATGGAGCTGCATGATACATCATTCTCATTACCATTGTGATATAAATTAGTGCTTTGGTACATAGGGTAAGTTCTAACATTCAGAAATACTCTTTTGTAATGTTACACACATTTATGGTAGCTTTACGAGGCTGGTTACACTGAAACCTTGTGAAAAGCAAGCACATTTCCAAGTGTTCATTCATTGTAGGATTCTGTCCCTGTTAATAAGCCCAGAGAAAGCAGATCTTTCTCCTCTAAAATATGCTCTAATTGCTAAGCGGGCAGTCCCCAGTGGCATCAAATTTGTATTTTATTCCTTTTGTGTGAACAGCATATACCATGTAGGTTGAGGCCAAAATCAGAGCTAGTGGACATGTGTTTCAGACAGTGTGCATCACAGGAATGACAAAATGTCTTCATCCATCTTTGTACACACAGTAATAAAATTCTATATCCTAAGCTAAATGCAGTGTAGGCTATACCACAGATGAAAATTATGCAACATCCTGGCTGAATTTGTAACACCAGGAAACAGAATTTTCGGTGTAATCTTGACATTAGTGTAGCTTGAAAATGCCAGAAGAGCACATTCATGCTTCCCAAGGCATAATACTCTTGTCCGATCTATATGGCCAGGGAACATACTAAAACAGGCACCCAGGCTTAGCCTTTCACTTTCTTTAACTAGCTTAAATAAGCAGCTTCCCTGGCTGTCACTCTGACAGATATCCTGAGGAAGGGCAGCAGTGGTGCCAAAGGCCCTATCTTGGGCTCGTCATACTCCCTGATTAAAGTTTTATTTTCACCACTGGCCTTCTAGTCAGACTGTTTCTTTCCATATTTGTATATATTTAGCTGAACACATGCTGCTAATCAGGATTGGTTTTCAGTGTGAATTTAGAGTTCCCTGATACCAAGCATAAAGATGTTCATTTGGGGGAAAGAGCAGATTCAGTAGAAGGTGATGCAAAATGAACTCCAGGATGTCAGTGATAAAGTCTTTGGGCAACAAAGTCTGAGTTGTACCTGACGTTTTGGACAAAAATAAATTTCACAGCCTTACTTACTCAGAGGTTGTCTAAGTGAAGTTAAATGGTGTCTGGAGATAAAAGAGATCCAGAAAAATAATGCATTTAAAGTAGTTTGAGATCCAGTACTTGGAATTTAAAAGCATAAAAATTTGGGCACAGACTTCTGGGCACAAAGTCTATGGATCTGTGGAACAAGGCACTGATTTTACTAAAATAACTAAATCAATGTGTTGCAACAACGTATACTGCCAAGGGAATAAAAAGAAGGTGTATATAGTGTACTGAGCAGGCTAGGGACAGTTGATCATTATCTTCTTCATACCCAATATCATAACACACAAAAAATAATTAAATATTCTTCTGAACATGTAATTAAGACTTCACGGGTGTAAGCATGTTTTAAGGAAATAATCTCAGTATAATTAGACATTGCTAAAACTAGTTGATGCTCAAAACCATTGTTGTACCTTTGGCAGTTTTCAATTTGAGATTCAACCAATTGATATCAAGAAAAAGCAAATTTTTCATGAGTATTGATTAGAAGAGTTAACAACTCATCTACTTTAATTAAAGTCAGCTGTAAATTTGGCAAATTAATACAACGTTTAATGCACCACTGAAGAGAACAGGCAAATCATGTCACATCTGCAAACTACGTAATGCTTTTACTTTGTCCTTCAAAACCCAAACAGGTTCAGGGAGAAAAGTATAGGGCTACACAAGGTAGATATTTCTCAGCTAAACTCTAGCCTACATGCAGTGGAACATATACTCAGATTTTGGTAATATATGTGTGGAGTTGTTTTCTTTTTTGTTTTTATATTTATTGATTCATGTTAAGGAGGTAAGCAGATAGGGAGATGCAGATTGAGGACAACTAGATACAGTACATGGAAATGACTGACATTGGAGTTTCAGAAAATAATTCATCATAGAGGAGAATGTCAACTGGTTGTAACATGAAATGTTTTCCTACAAAATGGAAGGTTTCAGATTTTTTACTCTAAAAAAAGCAGAAGCTGCAAATACCACTCTTTAAAAGATGCTTAGCTTTAAAATAGTGTGTTAGCTCCTCTCACTGTAATGACATCCTTGACACATAAGCCATTCATATACTGAAAAACCATTAAGATATGTCTGAGGATATTTAAAGCTAAACTTAACACAAAAGAAGAATCCATTATTTTTCAGAAAAAGTACAAATAATTTGACATGATGCCTTTAAAAAGTTGAATTGCAAAGGATTTTTCTTTTGAAACAAATTATTTTTGTCACATCTTCTTTTAAAAGCTTATCTTAATGTTCCCAGCTACTTTTTCAGCATGGCCAATAGATTATTTTTGAATGACAGCACTTGAAGTAGCAATCAAATGGACTTAAATGACATAATGAAGAAGTAGTTAACCCATCTGACAGTTCTAAAGCCATAATTTTGTTTGACTGGGAGTCTCAATAATTGATATTAGCTCACAAACTACCAAATATGTGAAAATAAAATATTGTGACTTATGATTTCATTTCAAAGATACCCTATTGTATACACAAGCAATTAGAATGCATCCTTTAAAACAGCATTTCTAGAGACAAATGCTTTTGACTGCAGTGCACTCATGACTGAATTGTGCTTCTTCAGCTGCCCAAATGTATGGTAGTGGATAGGCAGAGCACAATGCAAAAAAACATTCTACAAATCATTACAATCTTGGAAAATCCTGAAGAAGAAATCCATGTTCCTTAAAATAGAGCCATTTTCTTTATTGTGGATACATAATGTCTTTCAGACAGTAGTGCTGTTATCAGTCAGTATCAGCATGACTATCACAAATGAGAAAACAGATTTAAAGTGTTTTTAGAAATATGTAAATTGAATCACAAGTTTGGAAATATCTACACCTTTAAAAACCCCCCAAACCTTCAAGAGATGTTAAGCAGCAGCTTGGGTGAGGCAGATTCTAGATTTGGTCTGGCCCATTGTCTAAATCAGATCAGAACACAGCCCAGTAAATAAAACCTTTCACATGGCTTTGATTTTGTCCTTTTCAAGTTGCCATGTGCTTTTTCAGTCTATGCCCAAGCACATCAAGATGGTAGTTAAGATCTCTTGCTTTCTATGTTTTCACACTATGAAAGGGCTACACACTCAGGTGTCTGGTGGCAAATAACAGTGAAAGGAATATTGTGGTAGGCACAAGAGATGTGAAATGCAATGATTAATTTTTATAAAGTATATAGTCTGGGTTTTATTTCTGGGATCAATATCTGAAAACTGACTCACAAAATGCAGCCTGTTGCAATACTAAATCTGTTTTGTGCTGCTCTGAAGACTGGGTTTCTTTAAGCAAGCTAGAACAATAATGTTTTCCATATGTAAATTCTCTAATTGTGCATTTGTACTTTTTATCTTCTACTTAGGACTGCAAACACAACACAGGTGGTTCATATTGTGATAGATGTCTTCCTGGCTTTTATGGTGATCCTACTAAAGGGACAGCTGAAGACTGTCAGCTGTGTGCTTGTCCCCTGAATATACCATCTAACAAGTAAGACATTTATTTATTGCATATTACACTTTTTCACGTAGTAAATTGCATAACTTTTTAATTTATACTTTTCTGTGTACACTCGAGATTCTTTTTGTTTTAACAAAATAATATATTCTGTAGTATAACAATTGTACAGAGTGCTTAGTTTGCTCAGAGGCAAAGATCAAGACAAAAGCTGGATGAGACTGGGCTAGAAAGAACAACACAGAATTTGGATGACTGCTTCTTGAATTAATAACCAGCATTTGCTTTTCTATCCTCCTTAAGAGCAGTGTTCCTAGTTTTATATATTGATCTGACAGGTGAGGTTTTTCTAATAATAAAATTTAGATTCCATTTCTGTTGATCAGATAAAATAGTGATTTCTTCTGCCTATAATTTTTCATTTCTTCCAGTCAACATTCAGTGATAATGTTAATTTGTCTGGAGTCTGAATTCAGCCTTAGATCTTGCAAGTGAAAATAGTTTTCAGCATATCTCTGAATAGTCATTATAAAGTTGTTTCATTAAATAAAAATCATAGTTAAACGTTAATCAAAAGTATGCCCTAAAACAACGTTTCCTTCATTACAAAAGCTTGTCTGTGCTACTTGCTACCTACAGTTTAATAGATCAAGCAGGTTGAACAATTTTGACCCAGTCAATACCTGGAAAATAACAATACCAAAATCATTTTAGGCCACATAGTTGAAGAAAACTGTTCTGAATCTTGTCTGGTTGGCTTTTCTTATGCATATGTAGAACCAGAAGTATCAGTTTGTATTTGCACATTTAGTTTATGCCATCCAGGATGGCTTCAGAGAAAAAAAAGCCCAGGTGCAAGTAGCACATGCCCAGATGGCATGGAAGAGCTCCTGTGGTGCAACACATAGGATGATTGTTCAGGAGGATAAGGAACTGTTGAGTATGTGCCTGACATATTTGCAGTGATAACTAGTGCTTGCCCAAATTACGGCTATAAATCGGATGTGACTCCCTTCTGAAAATAATTACTATTGGTCCACATAGGCATTTCAAAAGGATTGTAGGATTTTAATAAAAGACTGTAAACTATGCATAGAGGCTGCCCTACCCCATGCTCTTCACACAGCTCAAGCGTTAAGTGTCTCTAGGAGCTGATAAATCCGCTGCAGCATTTTTTAATATTTTATTTCTTTTTTTCCTCTTCAGCTCTGCATCTTCTATTTCTTCTGTTTTGGGAATAAGGAGATGAAAGATTCTGTCAATTAAATGCACTTTACTATTTGGCCAAGAGAGCCAATAGTATCCTGGGATGCATTAAGAACAGTGTGGCCAGCAGGACAAGGGAGGTTCTCCTCCCCATTTACTCTGCCCTAGTGAGACCGCATCTGGACTATTGTGTCCAGTTCTGGGTTCCCCAGTTCAAGAGGGACAGGGATATGCTGAAAAGAGTCCAACAGAGGCTACAAGGATGATTAAGGGACTGGAACATCTGTCATACGAGGAAAGGTTCTGGGGCTGTTTAGTCTTGAGAGAAGACTGAGAGGGAACCTTTTTCACCTGAAGGGTGGATGTCAAGAGTGAGTCGGTCTCTTTTCAGTGGTGCCCTGCGATAGGACGAGGGGAAATGAGACTGAGTTGCAACACAAGAAATTCCACCTCAACATGAGGAAAAACTTTACTGTGAGAGTGACAGAGCACTGGAACAGGATGCCCAGAGAGGTTGTGGAGTCTCCTTCTCTAGAGACTTTCAAGACTCATCTGGACACGTTCCTGTGTGATCTGCCCTACGTGTTCCTGCTGCAGCAGGGGGGTTGCACATGATGATCTTCAGAGGTCCCTTCCAACCCCTATGATTCTATGATTTATGAGAATAATGAGTATTTATTAAGGTTTGCAGGGCAAAATGCATGGCTACCACCTGCACAGAAGGAGAGCTCTGTAAGATACAAGTAAAGAACAGAACATTCTCTGAATAGCAGGGTGTCAACTTAAGGCACAGATGAGCCAGACTCAGCTTTTAAGTAGTTCAGGCTAGCTCTGATGCCTAATAGTGTCCTATTAAAACTTCCCTGATCAAGGCAGAAATAATCTAACTACTTAGCAGCAGAAATTTCAGGGGATTGTACCAAGCCAGCCTGCCTTCCTGTTATCACATGTTATTCAGTTGGTTTTATTAGATACACGTGGGTTTATCATGTCTGCTGCTTGGGCAGGATTCCTCTGACATCCCCATTATTTTCGCATACTTAGTATTTCCTTGCATAGTTAATCAGTTCTATTTCCCTTATTTGAGAACTCTGTACCAACAATGAAGGAAAAACACTCTCATATTTCTATCTTGTGCAGATGTGCAACAAAGCAAGGCAAATAGATTGAATTTAGGTTTTTATTGGCAAAATGCCTGGAGACCTGTATTACATATTCATCAGAGTTCTGGCTGCTTTACTTTCCTTTTTTGAAATTGAATGAGAGATTCCCCTTTTTAATGTTTAGTTTTCTTGAAGAATGTAGGTACAAAACAAACAGAGAATATAAATGTTCTTGAACTGTGAAGCTGTGGGAGTTCTGAACCCTACAAAGTTTAGCCTTGCATTAGAATTGTGCAATAGCTTCTTATTTCTACATCAGACCAGAACGAAGCTGTGAGCAGCATCCTCAGGCTTTGTACAACTCATTGTAAGGTTCAAGCTCACATGCCTTTACAGTTCTAGACCAATTATTAACCTTGCTTATGAGGAAAATAAGAGATTGTTAAAGATTTATTGTGTTACCTGAAGGCTGTTTTGAATATTCAGTTTTCTTTCTTACTTATCTGGCAGTGAGTTTGGTATGCTAGGGTAATATATATAGACAATACAGATTCCTTCACACATCCTCCACATGAAAAATAAAGACATTTCTACTAAGCTCATGTCAATGTACAGATATAGTATATGCCATACTTTTCCTGAACAACCTAATAATTTGCATACAAATAATTATAAATACCTGACTATAGATTTTAACTTCTGTAGCATTTAATTCCTAATTTGGCATGACAGGGCATCTGTAGGTCTTTAAGCTTAGTAAGTTCCTGGTGCATAGAGAATATTTTTAATGTAAAAGCCATCTGAAATATATCTCTACTAAGAAATTAGGTTTGCCTTTTATAACACTGTCTTCTTCCTTTATGGTGTTTATAATAGTTCCCATCACTTTTTTCTTTTTCTTTGCAATATCATATCAGGTGGAGGAGAACTGTTCTATCCATTTCAGAAACATGATGCTAATGTTACTGTTCTATAGTAAACTTCAGATGATTTAATTGCTGCTCATTCCCTCTCTTGTTTCCTAATGGCAGCAGTTTCCATATGTAGTCACTGAAACCAATCATGAAACTGCCTTCTGAAGCATAACAGTGATAAGTGGCTTGCCATATGTCAGAAAAGACGTATGCCAAAGACATTGGCCAAATCAGGAAACTAAAATGAAGTTGTCTAAGCTTGTTTTCTAGATCCTGGGCTACATTTTCCTCTTTTTGCATATATCTCTATATTTGTACTTACATGATGCAAATGAGATCTATACCTGGATTATAAATGGCGTAGGCAATGCATGGCTTCTTAGTCTTATCTCTTCTCATTAATGCATCACTCTTACAAACTTTTCTAACATTCTTAATCTTTAAGGAGTTTCAAATTAACTGCTTTATATTTTTTTTCCATAGAAATTATCAAGCATACTGTTATTTAGCTCTTTCTACCAAATGTAGATTGCTTTTCTCTTGAAGTGGCAATAAACTTAGTATGGGTAACGAAGACTGTGACAGAAATGTTGTATCACTGGAAATAGGAGATGGAAGATGTGACATTCAGCCTGGGAAGGTCATAAGTAAACTCATAGCAAGTAAACTGTGAATTCAGGCTGGTCTGTTAGTATTTTCTTGAAGGATTATCTAAAACCATAAACTTATCCCCAACACTTGTTTTCTACTGTGCATTCATATTTGTCCTATGTCCCGACAGGTAGTAACATTGTTTCACCTTATGTAAAAAGCAAGAGACTAAGACATTTTGAAGTTTTTTTTGACAGATCAATACACACTGTTGATTAGTATTTATCACTAGTGAGTAATGAGATTCCAAGTAATCAGGAAGATAAACTCTTCTTTTCTTACACTGCTATCATGTATATCCTTTATAGGATGCAAATGACAATTTCTCAATATATAAGTGTTTAATGTGGACTGACTATTAGGTTAGAGGAAGAATTGAAGAATACTAGGCCTGACCATAACCCTTAAAACATGGAAAATCTGGTAATTATGATTATTATTTAGTAATAATAAGTAGTTAATTATCGTTATCTTTATAATTTATGCAGCTGAATTCAGAGTTTTTGATGGAACCTGTGATACAGTCAATCTTAAGCAATGTTATAATGAGCTGTGATAGCATCTCCACAAAGTTTTCTGTGTAGCTCTTAGGAACAGTGAAGATGGGACTGACAAGCAGGATCTTATGTGAAATAACTCAGGTGCTGCTGATTAGTTTCTATGATAATGTGTGCCTCAGTTGAAAGCTGCTTTCATTGCCATTTAAAAATAGAATGCACAATTATTGTTTCTTCAACTGGTTCCTCATGCACTTATGAATCTATTCTTAATTGAATGTCATTGCAAAAAAACACAAACATAATCCTTACGGGGAAGGAAACTCGCAATACGTGTTTGTGTTTACTGCACCTGACTCTCCCACATTTTTATTACTGATTTATTTTGTGTCTGTGGGATAACTTGCCCTGTGACACACGGAATACTTGTAAATGGAAATAGTCTGCAACATAAACAGAACAGAGTAATGGAGGGTAGATCACAGGATAGATGACTCCTGAGAAGTGGGGTCCAGTCAGAGGCAGGTAATCACATTACATGGTCCTAAGTAAGCTTTTCTGTCTTCCCTGTGCCTATTATTTTTCAGAAACTTGCATCATATATCCTGCTTTAGTTTATCTGAGGTCAGATTATGGGTATTTGTTACTGTTGGAGCATGAACTTGCACCTTGAATGTGCCTTCCTTTTGATGTTTTTGTTAGAGCAATAATATTCCTTTTCAACTTCTGCTTTCCTAGGTTATAAAAGATAAGTCTAGTGTCTTCTTTTCAGATAGGTGCTTTGTTTTCCTATTGTGAGTAGTCACCCCACTATGCTCCTATTCTCTTCTTTTTTTCTTTCTCCTTTTTCTATTTTTGTTTGTTTGTTTGTTTGTTTGAATACTACTATACTATTGTTTAGGTGAGGCCATGTGTCTCTGTCTCTAATAATAACTCCAGAATGATGGAAGAACAGGTTGTCTTTTTTTCTGTGTAGTGTCTTTTTAGAGTATCAGGAGATTTCCTAACAAAAGTGTTAAGGGAGAAAGATTATGGAAAGCAAAATGCTAAACAGTGAAGGAGCACAGTTCAGAATTAAACACCAACATCAAGATAAGGAGCTTGCAAATGCCCATGGTATCCCTGTTTATAAAAAAAAACAACAAACAACAACAAAAAAAAAAACAGCTAAAAATAAGGAGAGCATAGCAAAGAGGTAAAGATTTCTACTCTGCAAGCTATTCTTAAACTCCACCATGCCTGTCTGGCCTGTTGCTGGAGGTCACTGTTTACTCAAATAGACTCTGGGAAGCTGCACCAAATATTTCCCTTTTTGCTCCTCCCCTTTCTTGTTCACTGGGTCTTTTCACAGCCTGTTGTACAAGAAGTTAACTCAGCTTTCAAATCAGTTGTCCTTCAGAAAGATTTTATACAGGGGCCACGTTATGGCATAAAATGTTTTGCCAGGCCCTCAGGGGCACAAACAAACAGCTGTACATTCCTGCCTTTTTAACAGTATCCAGAGCACTTGGTGGCAGGCTCAAGTCCCATAATAACAGGCTATTGGGATGCTGCCATCCACTACTCTATATTCAGTGTCACAGAAATAGCAGAGTCATTACAAATCCTATTTGCTGAAATCAAACTTAAGCCTCAGGTCCCATGTTCCTGGGCACTGTTTTGCAAATTACTGCTCTCTGAAGGGGAAAGAGGAGCTATGCTGCTAACCATCTTTTCTGTATGTTTCTTCCTTGTCCCTGTTCTTGCTCAACATCAACACCACAGCTTCAGCCCAACGTGCCACTTTGACCGCAGTCATGGATTAATATGCGATGAATGCCCAGCTGGATACGTGGGACCACGTTGTGAAAGGTAAGCAAGTACCCTGCTTTTAACCATGTAAGATCTGAAACAAAAGTACTGATCGCATGGAACTGTTCTACCTTTTTGTTATGTCCCCTTCTTGTCCCCATTCCTGTGTTCTGAAACTCATTGAAGAAATTCTGTGCCTCTTCCTCTGATATGATGTCCATGCATTACCATATTTCTAGTGCTTGTTTTATTACTTTATGGTAAAGTGCAAAGCTTCCAAGAAGCACGTGCTGAGAAGCAAGTCTTTTTTTGAAATGATTCTTTAAGCTTTTCTGTCATTCTTCTGAGATTTTTATAATTATTTAGTGTCTTTTGTCATTTGAATGTTTAGAGCATGGCGAATCAAGTATGCAATAAATTATTGATGCCTCTTTTAGTGAAGTTAATATGCAGTGAAAACACAGCTCTTCTAATAAGATAGTTGTTGATTTTAATTATCTTTAATAAGATTGTTTCACACTTGTTACGTCTGGTTGCCTGTTGCAGTCTTTATTTAGTGAAGAGAATGAGCTAAGTTTTAATGACAAAAAAGATAATTTCTATTTGTCAAATACATAGAAAAGCTCAATATCTATTTCCTACACTTCATTACTACCTATACAAAGACAAATAAAAAATATGTCTAGTCTGTTTTTGGCTGTGACAGGTCTGAGTGACACTTTAGTACTCAGAGAGAAAGTTTTCTCCCCATTTTTCCTGTGATTTTGAAAGGATGACACAGAGAATTTAAATCAAACAGAAGCCCAGTGTGAGTGCTGGTGCTAAGCTCCTGGAATCCCCCTGCCATGAGAGGTGAGACTACATGGACAAAGGATATCATGTCCATGTCTGCATGCCTTTCTGTCCCTTGGGATTTCACATGGATGGAACAGCTTTCAGGACCAGTTAGTGTGCCTGAGGACCTCTACTAGTTGTTTGGAGGTCATGCTGAGTCAGCATGGCCTTTGGCTCCATGATTCCAGTCCCCTGTGACCCTGCAAATTACACCTTTTAAGAGCGGGTTGGGGGAGCCGGATAACTGTCCAACACCTGACTTAACAGTTATGGGGCATGAAAACATGGCATTTCTGTTTCTTAGGCTTTTGCCATTTGGCACTTTCACAAGGTGCTTGCAGCATTTTCCAATGTAAACTCTAAGAAAAGGTAAGGGCTCTGAATGAAGATTTATAATGTTCACACTGAGATGAAGAAAAGTAGGAATGAACCAAGAGGAAAAGTCAACAAGGAAAGCAGAAACCTTACCATACGCTGTGAATCACCCCTGAATCTTGTCTTCCCCAAATTAACATTTACAACTACTTCCTTTTAAATCCTCTGTTGTGCTGTATCTGTCCTAAAGTGGGTGTGTAGGCTGTCACCTGTTTCCACCCATCATCACTGAGTCTGCTCCTTCTGTGTGCTATTTTTGCTTGTCTTTTCCTGTCTGTCTTGGAAGTCATCACTTTCTTTCAGCTAGTGGGCTGTGAAGTTAATAATGGCAGAAATAAATTACATCAAGAGCACTTTGGTGGCAGTTTGTCAATGCAGGGTCATTGACAGCTTCCATTAGCAACAACTTCTATTTCTGAGTGTAGCACAGGCTGTGGGTGCCGCCGTAGGACAGAATCTGAGTAAGTGGCAGGATTGAATTTTAGCTTGATTTCCTAAGGAAATGAGGCTAGTGTGATCTTTTTGTGCATGTCTGTCTGTCTGCCCACAAAGACATTTGAACTTGCAGGTCAATTTCAACCAAGTCTGAGAGAAGGGTAGGAGGTCCTGAAGAAAATAATTATTCCTGAAGTTTTCATGAGAAGAAGTGGCTGAATAGAGGTTAATAGATCAGGACATGTCATAGCTGAGGGGGAGAACACTGTGTGAACTCACACCTGATTAAACAGCAGAGAATACATGAGAGAGAGAAGGAGAGAGAATGAAAGAGACAAAGACACATTATTAAATGTTCTGCCCATAAGAAAACTTTCATAGGGCAAGGAAAAAGTGCTGCTGCAGCCTGAGGGATTGCTCTCTGCTGAATAGCAACATCCTGCAGCAAATATTCAGCCCTTAGACTTATATCTATGAAATATGAATCTATTGGAAATTAGGTCTTTCATTCCAATGCTCATAGGACTATTTGCTTTTTAATTGTAACAAGTTTCTTGGAAATGCCCACAGATGTCAATGACAAGGAAGAGGAGAAAGCGTGTTGCCCACTGCTATTAATAGTGATTGTATAATTTCTAAAACAGTTTACATTAAATACTCTTTCATTTTAGCAACTGCAAAGTGACAAGTGATCTGAGCCGCATGATTAATTAACTGAACATTCTAAATTATCATGAAATATCAAGTGTCATGAAGTGAGCACATGCAGTACTTTAGTTATTTGGCCTTCAAAATAATCCTCTGCCTTTAGGAAGATAAAAGCTTTAATCTATCTATCTATCTATCTATCTCTCTCTCTCTCTATCTCTCTATCTCTCTATCTCTCTATCTATTATACCTGAGTTGTAAAATGTAAAAAAAAACAATAAAACTGCTGCTTCTCTCACTTGAACTTTTCAGAAAAATGTTGCCAAAATTGCTTAATGTTCTAAGAGGTCCAGCTTATAAGACCATTAAAATAGCTGCAGATATAAACTGAGTTACCACATATCTGTAATTGTAGAGAAAGCCCAGCTTCCCCATTTCATCCTTTTCCCCAGCAGTTTAGGCTTATGATCTTCCTTTGCTCACTGGTCACTTTCCTAAGGTATATGACGTAGGACAGACACTCTGCGAACTCACAGAAAGGTTGTATGAGAATGTCAAAAACTGTCCTGTGAGCCCAACACATTTACAGAATGATATGCATTTTCCAGCTTATCAGTCTTCATGTAGACAAGAGCACTCAGTTTTAAGGACAAGAAGCAATACAGGTGAAGGTATTCAGCAATACACTTTCTCCTGTAGCTCTCCTTCATTTATTAATATGGTTCCAGTGACCTCCTAGAAGGAGAGATGAAAGGTCAGCATAACTTCAGTGGAAGGTGGAAGATGAGATGGGTTGTGTTCTTCCTTCCTTCTACCCACTTCTTCAGGTCTAGCACACAGTGCCACCAGCCACAGTCCGTTATGTGTCTCTTGGCTTCAACCTGCTGCTCCTTCTAGCTGGTGCCAGAAGTCCAAGTCTATATTGCAGTGCTGATGAGCAGAGAGTCAAACTATCAGGAGATTCAACACTACAGATGTGTAAAATAGACCTGGGTTTGTGTGCCTATATGTGTATATACACAGTGCCATGCAGGCTGCTGTGGATAAAATTAACTCCACTTCACCAAACCCAGTACACATACATATACATATACCTACACAGTAGCCTTTATGTGGCATTAGTTATGCCAATTAAAAGCAAGCAGTGTCAGTCACAGACACACCTGCACTGGAGACTAAAGATGAGCACAGAGGAAGAAATAAAAAAAACCACCATAGAAGCAATCTTTGTTCACTGCTTTTAGTCCTATTGTTGTTGATTTTCAGTTCCGAGGTGTTGTTCTCTTGTACTTAGCAGTCATTTATTTAGGTATGTATTTTGTGTAATACATAAATGTAATTTTCTATGCCACAAACACTATTGGTTTTTTAATAAGAACATTGCCAAGCATGTAATGCTTTGAAACTGAGAAGAGAAGCTGAAATAGAAGTATCCTTTAGGATGAAATTAGCAAAAGTGGATTTTTTAATCTTCCTCTGCAACTTTAGAAGAAATGGGAGAGGGAAAAAAAATTGCACACAGATGCATACATAGTTTTCTTTTAAGCTTGATGGTTTTGCCCCAAATTTCAGGATCATCTTGAAACTGGATTTGAGATAATGGATGTATATAAGTAGAACATAGCTATATGATGGTAGTGAGTTTTGCTATTTTTAATTTGCAAAGTCTAAACTGATGAGAGTACAAAGAGTTATCAAAATGTCCTGCTATTAATAGAAGAAAATAATTAGCAGTGCACATCTTGGAAATCCCTGGAGTACTTTTTGTGTGAACTGCTTGGTAAGTTTCTTTGAATGCTATCAGATTCAGAACTAACCTCTAAATGAAACTGAAAGAGGAAAATAAATACATATCAAGTGAAATCAAATAGATTAGTAATACCAAAAGATAGAGATTTATGATGAATAGGTGAGGAACAAGTGAGAAAGGTCTCAACAAAGCATAGGTGAACCTCAGCCATCATCCATTTTAGGTAAAATAACTGCATAAATTATTCAGTTTTTCTCTGACTTTGATAAAGCTTGGCTGTTAATTGTTAAATGCATTAATAGACTTTCCTGGCCTTTGTAACTGAGATATCATCACTTAAAAACAACAACAACCAAACAACAACAAAAAAAAACAACTTTTTTTTTTTTTTTTTTTGTCAAAGTAAGATAAAATCAGTCTTTTGTTGTTCCTGAGATATCTCACACACACAAGGAAAAAAATATAAATTTATTTGCAGGGAATACAAGGAGGTACAATATGTGACTACATTTTTGACAGGTTCTGAAAAGAAAATGCCTGAATTATTCTAGTGAAAAGATTTTGGTGTATTGTTGCTATGAGGAGGTCATTGTGAGAGATGACTATGCTAAAGGAGTAAAGCACAGTGGGCTTGATTGTGAAAATTTTATTCATTTTCTTGATGCTTACATGCACCCAAACCACTGGCCTATTTATACATATTATTAATCTATGGTCTTTCTTCCACTGGACAATGGAAAAATATCCTATGTTGTGTAATAGCTTACTGCAAAAAACTATTCAGTTAGATCCAACTATAATTTCCTTCCGAGTCTCAGTTATCCATTTTTATGATCTTTACTAATTATAGTAAATAATACATAGTAAATGTTTAGACAGCTTTGTTTAAGGGACAAGAGTGAAAGCACAGTGGAGTTCTGCATTTCCATGTTAGGACGGTTCCCAAAATCCTTGCTTGACCATACCATTAAGTACTATTACAAAGCAGAGAGGGTATCCGTGTACATTAGGACTGCATTCAAACTGACTTTAAAATAGTAGGAAATGTTAATTTATGCAATGTGTTTTATGTACTTTCTTTTTTATTTACACCAACTGGAGTTCATCTGAGATGCACATGAATAGATTTCTTAGCTGAAACTGGGCAATTTTTCTTCTTTTTCTGCACTATCTACAAGTTGCACATACTGTGAAGTGTGAGCAAATGTAATGGAAAGGGAAAGCAGACCAGAATATAAATAGGAAATAGTCTGTGAGGCGAGTAGAAATTTGCTGTAAGTACAAACTCATGTTAGCTCAGATTCACTAAACTGTTTTACGTGTTACTTGCAGAAAATTGCTGCTGGGCAGGGTGGAAAAGAAGGTGATGTTTTTAAATATCTCCATTAAAATCTGAAAGATGTAGTACACACCAACATAGTTCCTGTGATAATGAGCAATCTTTTTTTGTTACCTACTTATACATAGAGATTAGCAATCCATTAATTAAACAAATCTGATCATGAAGTAGATCAGGGGAAGGCTAACTCAGGGGAGGATCTTGTTAGGGAAACAAATCTAAGTCTGTATTATTTTCTAAACAAAAGCTTTTAAGGTAGAGGAAAAGAATCGTTAAGTTTGCAGCCAAATGAGTATAGAAAATCTACACATAATGTGCTGAAATACAAAGCCCATCTGACATGGACCTGAATTCCTCTAGTGTGCCAAGATTTCTTATTATGCTTTGTCTCGTCTTCAGTGCCAGTGACAAGATTTTTCTCCCACTGAAATCTAATTACTAGCAGAACTGGCAGGATTTCAACTGGTACTGTTTCTACAGTGTTGTTAAAAAGGAGAAGGAGGGAGGGGAAAAAGACCCTTAAGAAATACTTGAAAGAAGATAAAATAATTTTTGCTGATTAGTGAGACAACAAAATTAAATATTTCTAATAAGAGGATTATTTAAGGGTGCTTACTGGTGATGTCTCTTACTTTAGGTGTGCAGAAGGCTATTTTGGACAACCTCTAATACCGGGAGGATCTTGCCAGCCATGCCAGTGTAATAACAACCTTGACTTCTCCGTTCCTGGCAGCTGTGACAGCTTGTCTGGTGCTTGCCTGATCTGTAAGCCAGGTACAACAGGCCAGTATTGTGAGAGGTGTGCTGATGGATATTTTGGCGATGCTCTTGATGCAAGGAACTGTCAACGTAAGTCCTGAACTTGACTGCTCCTGACAGTATTGATCAATCCTATATCCATGGTCCCAAGAGGAAGACTGTGCTTCTGTATATGTGAGCAGGAGAATGATATGGTGTATTTACACCTCTAATAGCAAGGATTTTACTTGGATCTGCATCTGGAAAGGGAGACTTCAAAGTAAATAGAAAGAGGAACCTGTTAAAAAGCTTCCTGTTGGAGTTGAAGCAGTAATGAAGCAGATATGGAAAAAAACTGGGAGAACTGAGCATGGCATAAATGCCAAAGTTTATACTAAAAGTCAGATCTACAAAAATAAATATAAATAAACGAAAACAATCCACTATAAGCCATCCAGGGAAATCCCATTAACTAGTCAGATTGGTTCTGAAAGGAGGGACCAATATTTCAGTTACTCTAGAGTGCAACTTTTGCAGTACGTGTGACCTTCTTCCAAACTATAAGGCCTGAGTAAGAGTTGGGAACTACTGCTTCTTAGAGAGCAAGATTTTCCCACCTCCTGCAAATTAGAGTCTAAAATCTCCTGACAAGCTTTCTGAGGTGCTCTGGAGGAAGATCCCTGGCACTGCAGCAAGCTCCCATATCTCAGCTGAGTGGTGACATACTTAAGTGTGAGCCCCAGCTCATATTTGCCCATAAAGACTGCAAGAAATAATCAAGAGAAGATGGCAGATTTGGGAGGAGCAGGAGATTTTGCTTCTATAGAAGGCAGTGTCTCTCTCTGAGTCATTGCTGCCACAATTCAGAATGCAATTAGGCAGAACAAGTGCCTTTAACTTAAAAACATTCTTCAAATACCCTTCCACCCCATTCTGAGGGTGAGAATACAATAAGTTTCTGTCCTGAAAGAACAGAGTATTATATTTCACTGTCACAAGGATTTAATCCTTTTCATTCATTGGAATAAATTCAGAGCGACACCTTTGGGTATAAAGAAGTTGTATCAGGATAAAGTTATGCAAGTAAAAGAGCTAGGCTATTGTCTTATTGCTGTGTGTGTAGGAACACAGGGACAACTTCTGCAGTATATGTTGCATGCATTGAAGTCTGAGCCAATGGCATCCATCTCCAGGATTTGCTCTGCTAGTGGCTTGCAGTTTGGCAGTGAAAATACTGAGTTCTGTTTGGCCACCTCCAATTGTGTGGGAGCCAGTGAGATGCAGAACATCACCAGGTTTCTCAGCTAAGTAAGATGTGTAAAATCAAAGCTAGCCATGAAGACATTTACCTGCGTAGATGTTTTCTGCACCTACTTTACACAATGCTGCATAAAATTTGGAAAATCACCTGTATTCTCTGCTTAAGTTAAGAGTTTGTGATTAATTACGTCATATAAGTTAGAGTGTTAAGTTTGTAATGTGATTTAAAAAGAAGTGTACTTCAAAAGTCAGAGGTTCCAGTAGTTTATCACCATTCCTAAGACACCAAGAGCACTCTTGTTTTGAACGTTTCTTCAGTAGTGTCAGCTGTATGGGAAAGAGAGGTAGTATGAGGAGAGTTCAGAAAACATACAATTAAAAAAAACTATTAAAAATACTAAAAATAAATGCATATTTAATGTAGAATTACAAGCTTTGCTTTTGTTGCTAGTATGCCTGACAAGGATGGCACCCTAATATATTCATAGCTTTGTGCTCAGTTACCTTGTTTTGCATTCATCTACTCTCCATCTTTTATATGGGTTTTCTTTTTTGCGTATGGTTTTTTATTTCCTTTGCAGACTTTCATGAAGTTTGCCCTGCAGCTACAATATCAGAGGGACTGTGCCTTTACTTTGTTGTTTTCAATTTCATTCTTTATTAAAAAGCCAAATCCAAGAACATTGCAAAGCACGAATTTTGCTTTCAAATTATTGTTTGAAATGTTTCCTGCTCTTTCTCAGTAGTGTTGTTGTCATTTGCATTAACCATTTCAAATGACAGTACCATTTCATATCATTATAGGACCTCTGAATTTCTTGGTGTTTCTGCACAAAATAATAAATTTTAGAACACAGGGCAAATGTCCTAGACTTATTTGCTTTAATTCTAGTAGGTTGTTTCTTGGTCTGAAACAGCACAATATACTGAAGCAAATACCTGAAGGTTTTTCTGATGGCAGTTGAGCTAAGTGACAACAGATAAATTAAAGCAAATGTTAAAGCATGTCTATGTGCCAGTGCATATGTACTACTGTTGGAGGAGAATAAGTGTGCAGGTTGATTACAAGTACACATAAATATTCATACAAATCATAAATGAGAAGGGTCTTGACCGGTGTCATTTTGGGAAAAAGTAAGACAAATTACTATGACAGGATGTATTGTTTTATAGCAACCATTTGGAGGTTTGAACAATAGCTAATTTTCCCAGTAGAGGTGAGTGAATGGGAAGGCTTTAGGTGACATAAATGCAATTTATCAGATTGAGTAGCAGTTTAGTAGATTAATAGCCCTGACTTTGTTTCTTCTATATGTACGTACTGCCAGAACCAAGAAAAACAATCAGTCTTGACTCCCAAATTCTCTGTTGCCCCTCAGTCATCTGTAGCTGTTAAGAATACATGGTATGCTGTCTGTTAACGCATAATATAAGTACGACAAACTAATCTGTTTATGAAATTTTCTTTTTTATTCTTGTGGTGTCATATGTCTTATAAGCAAAACAATTTAAATAAGACAGCCTTTGTTTTTTGAGGTCTAAACAATAAGGGTGGTGAAATACTGTTAATTTCCATTGGGAATGGTCATTTTGTGATTTTGGGCTTATGCATAAATACTGGAACTGTATCTATGTGGTGCTCATCACTGTGTACAATTTGGAGTGTTGGCAGTTTTAAAACAAATATGATAGGAGGACTGTATACAGGATGAAAGAGGTAAACTATGGATTCAGTCAGTGTTGAAAAATGAGAGCAAAAGGAAAACAGAAGCCATGTTAATTACAGCAGAAATGTTTTAAAATATTTACCTTTTTTAAGTATATGACAAAACAAAAAGAGATCAAAATCTCTGAAGGTCTTACCAGACTGATGAAAGGCCTCAATATATTTTTGTTACTTATTCCAGAATATGAGACACTTTAGCAAACATTTGAGAAATAAGGCCAAGAACAGAATAGCAAGCCATAAAGTCACTTATATTTAAAAGAAGCATCTTCTGCAGAATATCTCAAAAGTGGGGAGAAGAAAAGAATCCTTTCCATTTACAGTGTAGCAAGTCCAGTAAAGTAATGATGAAACTCCTCTTGCAATAGTCTATATATAGAAAAAAGAATAACTGTTTTGTCTCAAATGGCACCTTGTGACATGGAAGTATGTGACCACCATGTGCTCACTGTTGGGACTTATAAGTGTTTCTTAAAATGAAGCTGTCCCACTGAGAAAAAGATCAACACATGCAGTCAGGACACTATAGGAAGGCAAAATGTGGATTGGTGTCTTGATTTGTAGAGCACATTGATAATCAATATAGATACTTACTGTGTTTTTTACTCTTGGAAAAAATAACATGACATGCAGGAGCCAGCTGATGCTGATGGAATGGGTGACTTCATGGTTAAAGTCTGTGTAACACCCAATCAAATCCCTCTTCTCTACTGTGAACGCTAAAGGGAATTTTTCCTTGTCTCTGCAGGACAAAAGAATTGGGGTCAAAGAATGTAAAGGGTGATAACAAGCTTCCCAAAACATGAGAATTTTCTTCTCCTAAAACATGAGAATTCAGGAGCCAAGAGCATTGTTATTTTCCTAAAAAACAGTAGTTCCTTTTCATTGCTGTTTTAAATCCTTACGGGAGCTTTCTGATGAGTTGGGCTTGTCAGTTGGGCTACATTTCCTCTGGGAACTGTGATGCTGTTACTAAGAGAAAGGTACCAGAAAGTCATGGAAGCAGATAATCCTGTCTCTGTTTTCAGCTGTGCTCCAAACACTGTGATTCTTTGAAATATGGCACTAATTAAAATATAAAGGCAAAGTTGTTACTGCTTTAAAACCCTGTACATCATCACATAGTCAGTAATGTGCCCTAAACATTCTCTTTTGATCTGAGAGGCACATATAAAATTAATTATTTCTGAAGTCAAGGCAAAATTTCCCAGTCCAATAGTTTGGAGCAAAATTCTACATTAATATAGGTTTTGCTACTATGGGAGTAACACCTTCCTGCTTTGGTCAGTCTCCTTTGTGACCAGCAAAAGTAGAGAGGTGATTGTCCCCCTGTACTCAGCACTGGTGTGGCCACGCCTGGAGTATTGTGTCCAGTTTTGGGCACCTCAATTCAAGAGATATATTCAGGTGCTGGAGCAGTTACAGAGGAGGGCAATGAAGCCGGTGAAGGGCCTAGAGAATAAATCTTTTGAAGAATGCTTGAAGGAGCTGGGAATGTTTAGTCTGAGAAAGAGGAGGTGGTGGGAAGACCTCATCAGTCTCTACAGCTACCTGAAAGGTCATTGTAGAGAGGTTGGTGCTGGTCTCTTTGCACAGGTAATTAGTGACAGAACAAGAGGGAATGGCTTCAAGCTGCGACAGGGGAGGTTTAGATGGGACATTAGGAATTTTTTTTTTCACAGAGAGAGTGGTTAGACACTGGAATAGACTGCCCAGACAGGTGGTTGAGTCACCACCCCTGGATGTGTTTAAGGGTTGTTTGGAGTTGGTGTTGGTGGATATGGCTTAGGGTGTAGAGGAGAACTTTGTAGAGTAGGGATGATGGTTGGGCTCAGTGATCCCAAGGGTCTTTTCCAACCTGAGTAGTTCTATGATTCTATGATTCTCAAGGTTGCAAAAGCCACACTGTAAATATTTGTTTATTAAAGATAGCTTCAGCAGCATATGTATTTTAGGAAATACATTGACAGCTCCTTCTTCCTCCCCTGCAGCCTGTCACTGTCACATCAATGGCTCCTTCTCTGAGATATGTGACTCTCGGACAGGCCAGTGTGAGTGTAAAGCCAACGTGGTTGGGCGCCGGTGTGACATCTGCCAGGTGAGTTACAAGAAACCCTGTTTTCTTGTAGTTTTCTTCCTGTTTCTTGTAACTAAGTACAGTTGTGGTTTGGATAGTTTCTCTTTCTTGCTCATTTTTCACTTTAAGAATGTATGTGTTGTTCTTACATACAGAATGGTAAAATGGCTAGTTTTAAAATTATTTCTAAAGGTTTTCTAGAGCAAAATGCAGAACATGGCATGTAAATGTATTTTAAGCCTCACTGTACATATACTTTTAGATGTGGTACGTACACCTTATATTCTGAAGTATTGCAGCTCTCTTTTAAAAAAGAGTTGCACATTTTCTGATAACATCTGATTAAAAAAAAAAAAGGCAGGATGGTACTTTACTTCTGCTATTAATCTTCCGCTTTTCTGTTTTTTTCTTAGGACTTCTTGTATTGTCCAAATAATATATTTGTTTTTGGTGAAAGTGTCTCTTGCATTGATGTTGTTTTGCTATCTCATAAATCACTACAAAAAACAGTGTTTCATGAACTTTCACAGTTTTCCTTAGGCTGCTAAGAAATATGTTCTAGCTGGATGCACTTTTTTTGTAGCTCAGCATGAGGATTTGTGTCCTCAGGAACACCTCCGTGTGTGTAATTTAAAGCACATAAGTAACTCTGTAGAAATCACAAGGATCATTTGCATCCTCCATAAACTGCATAATTTCCAAAGAGGTTTGCTCACACTCTATTTTCAACAGTATTTTAAAAGTCTGTCCAAAGAAAAATAGTTGGTATCGAGGGAATTTGCACAGATTGCATAATAAAATAAAAAAATAATGTCAAGTTTGTTGATACAATATTGGCCATTGTTTAGAATTCATCTCTGTTCCCTACTGTCCTTATTCCTGTACTCTTTTATTTGCTGTAGTTTCATTATCTTCACCTTCTAACAGTGTTTGCTTCTCCCTCTTAAAAAGCCCAGCTACTTCTGGGCCCCAGAAAAGCTTTTTTGTATACCCTGTGGCTGCAATGCTTTAGGATCCATGTCACTGCAATGTGATATGTCAGGAAGATGTATCTGCAAATCAGGATTCATGGGCAAACACTGTGACATCAGCAGACAGGTGCCTAAATTGAAAGAGAATGCACGAAGCAGTCTGCAGATCCGAGTTCCTCCTCGGAGATGGGGCGTCAGCAGTGCCAGTGGGTGCCCACGCGGTGCTTACCAGCCTGCTACTCCGGTAATCACAAACTGTGTGCATTGCATGGGCTGAAATCTCATCTTTGCTTGTGTTTGGAGCTCTGCAGGTTTTTTTAAAATTATTAATTTTAAATACCTGTGTTACAACATATGAAAGTATCAAGAAGCTGACAGGCTCAGAAGACAGGCAGCGTTGAAGGGTACTTCCTACGGCTTCTCACAGGGCAAACGACAATAGAGGCCAGAAGACAAATACCAGAATAAGTCCAAAAGCAGCACCATCAGCAGCAGTATGCACCTAATGCATAGGTGATGTACAGACAGCAGTGAAATCAGTGGGATTTTCCTGGCCTTCAACGTGACAAGACTTCCTCTTCTAAAAATTCAGGAAGCAAAAGCTCAAAGAGTTTGTGAGAAGGATCAGCCCCAGGGGCAAAATGTTAAAATCTAATAATGAAATATCAAACATAGCTAGTGTTAAAAGTTCCCATGAAGTTACCTGAGCCATGTTTAACTGTGTGAAGTACCCATTATTTGAATGTAATGCTTAAAATGAAAAAAGTATTAATTGTTTGTCACATACCAAAAAGTAAATTATTTCTAAAATGAAATAATTGTGATGCAACTACTTCCAACAAAGCAGTGATTTAGGAATGTTGGCTTTATTCCTTGCAACTCCTCTTTGTCATCCAGGTTCTTCTCTCTTGTTCAGTAAATGCGATTCTTAGATTTTCTGTGTGTAAACAAGCTTTGTTGAGGGCTCCACTTGGGGCTTCATCTTTGGAGTTTGCATGACTGATCCAAATGTCTTTCATTGTGCAGAGCTCATCACAGAATACAACCCAGCATGCTAGTGATCTTTTCTTCCTTCAAGCAGTGTGGAGTGCTGATGTATCAGACTTTTTTCTGGCTTTCACTCTTATAAACAGAATTTATTAGATCCTGTCAAGCTTTCTATCAGGAACTGAGCTGCATGCTGTGCCTTGGTTACTAGACTGCATTAATCTGAATGTCTGTCCTGAGATTTTTGCATATTCACATTTCTGTGTTTTTCTTCCTGTGGAAAAGGAATATCTAGAGATAGTCTGTATATTTAATTGAACCTTGGAGTTTAATTAAAAGAGTTTGAGTATTTCTTTCTCCCTAATATGTTTTGTCATGCAGAAGTATTTAATTGGCAAAACATTTCAACATAGAATTTGGAAATTAAAAACAGGATAATTATTTATTATATGTATAATCAAGCATTTGCTTAGGTTCATATGATCCTTCAGGCCAAATTCTGACTGTAGTTGTGGTCTGTATTCTGGTACCTATCAGCAAATTCCCTGTGGGAATGTGGAACTTCAATATTAACCTCAGAGAACAGATTTCAGGATTTTCACATTGAAACCTTCTGAAGTCTCTGCAGATTCACCTACACAAGATGTTAGGAGTTCCATTGTGGAACCTGAAAAAAAAGGTAGCAAAGTACTCCCATGTTAGGTTATTCCAGTTCAAGACTGAGTTCAGAATTTTGAGTTACTCCTAGAGGCCTCTGCTGGATGGTGCAGTGAAATACATGGAGTCTTGGTTAAAAGCTTCATGCAGAACTTCATATTACAGTAAACAAATAAGTGTGTGTTTTCCCTTCTTTACAAGTATACTTTTTGCACTCCACCAGTGGAGTTAAGGAGCAAACATTACTGTAGTTGAAAATGTTCTGGTTCTGTAGGAGCTTTATGGTACTCAATGCAAAAAAGAAAATGAAGAATGAAAATAGAAGAGAAACAGGCTCATTGACTACTTGTATCTTAGTTTTATATCTAAGCCAAAGACAGAGTTTTTATCTTAAAAATGGAAAATTCCCATTATTTTCTTGTAATTTAAAAAAATTAATTATATATGTTCTTCTACAGTTATTCCTAAGTATCCTTCAAAAGTTATGCCCTTGATTTACAGAATACTGTATAGATACTGTCCCTGGTCAGAAGAGATAAAATCTAGTTGTCTAGACATTTCCAGTTCAGTAAATATCCACTCATAGCTAAGAATCTGAATTCATTATCTTAGCAAAAAACTTTGCCTGACATACTCTTACAACCCAAACACAGGACATATATATGGAGCTGAAATACATTCAATTTCTTGCGGGAATGGTGTATGTAGAAAATGCATTGCATTGCAGAGCATTCATTATAGAATCAGGTAACATTCTAAAATCTTTATTCTTGTTCAGCTGTGTAGGATATTTATTGCCCCATACCCCAGTGTTTTACCACTACAATCTGTTAAGAGTAGTATTATTTCAGTCATGAAAACTACTGCTCTTTCTCTCTCTGTGGCAGCCTGGAACATTTGGCTTACAGTCTGCAAGAGGATGTGTTCCCTGCAACTGCAACTCTTTTGGTTCCAAGTCCTTTGACTGTGATGGAGATGGGCAGTGTTATTGCCAGCCTGGAGTAACAGGAAAGAAGTGTGACCGCTGTGCTCATGGATTTTATAACTTTGAAGAAGGAGGGTGTACTCGTATGTAAATTTTTTGCAGCCAATTGCAGCTGTATTTATTTATTTGTTTGTTTATTTATTACTAAGATTCTAGTTTAATTGTTTTGGATTGCCTAAGAAATTTTCCTGACAGGTATTTTCATAGACAGTCCTGTAAATTAGTCAATTGGCAAGGAGGGTGATAGGCAAGAACAAAAGTCCCAAGGAATTCCTGCTATTTTAAGGCCAGTTTATGGCTAATCTACCATATTCAGAAGGAATGGGAATGTCCTTTTCTGCAAGTACTTCCTTCAAAAAAATTCCTATTAAGTTCGTGTAGTTTAGTTATGATAGGAGTGTCATAGAAGGCTGATTCCCAAACCTTTTCACTGTCCTTAGATGGTTGATCCTTTTTTATTAAATTTCTGTACAGTAATATTTAGGATATTGCTCACTTGTATATCTTTTGTGTACAACAAGATCTCCAGATAAAATTCTTTACTTTGTCCCTTGCATAAACACATATAAAGTATGTTTTTCCAGATGCGTCAGACATAATTATATCCAACCACTTCTTTATATTTATGTTGGTCCTTTTGGACATTAGGTCAAACACTGAAATGAATACATCCTGTCCTGAAAGCAGTACAGACATTGAAAAGGGCCTAATTGATAGGTGTCTTCACAGGGAAGTATCTATCATTGCTAATAGTCTTTTTAAAGTCTCACATAGTCATTTAGGTGTGATCACAGAAGACATAGATAGTTCTCTAGTGTGGCTGGTTGCTGAGATGCCAAGAATGGTGACAGCTCCCCAGCATTCTTTGTAGCAGTGCTTTAAAGCCAGGCATATTGCTGCTATTATTCTTCAGGGAGAAGCTGTATACTTTCCAGAAGCAGAAATCACTGTACCTAGTGTCTTGTTCTTCCTCCTTTCCCATCTGGAGTGGCAGCAGCAAAACTAGCTTTATGCTTTAACTCCCTTTTTTTTTTAATGGAAGGAGCATCTAGACCTCAAGACCCACATCTGTGCAGCAAAATTCAATTTCTCTTGTAGTGCTCATAAATCTTGAGCCAGACTGCATTATAGACCATATTTGAAAACATTACAGTATTGTCTCCCACAGGAAGGAAAGGTTAAGAATATGTTTACTACCTTGAAAAGTTCAAACACACTGGCACCTTGGAAAAGGGAAAGACTGGTTCACAGGCTCACTGATGAGAAAGCTTGACATAAAATGCACATGATAACTGCAGTCCTAAAGCTCCTAGTACATGTACAGAGGGGAAAAAATATAAATACCTTCATTGATGAGTCTCTTATTCTTACATTTCACAGTTTGAAAGCACATCACTATTGCGAAATACTGTGAAATGTTGTTAATTTCATACAGTTGGGAAAGGAAAATGAGAGGGCAATTGGCAAGATTTCACATTAAAATGTATACTGCTCTCTTGGCAAACATGAAATGACAAAATTTAAGGAACAGTGATTAAATGGAAAAGTAATGTAAATCTGAAGAATATTGTAAATATAGACATATTTGTCTGTGGTCATCACAGTCATTTTAAGTAACTGTATCAGATAAAGATGTTCAGAAAATCCAGATTTTTAGAAGCTCCAAAATTAATATAACAGATGGAGGGGAATTCTGTTTTCAAAACACTGTTTTTTTCCCTACTTATTTTTAGTAGGTTTTTAAAGTATTCCTTCAAATAACAAAAGTAAAAAATAATTTTAAAAAGGAATTAAATTATTAATCACAGAGAAAATCAGAAATTTAATAACAGGATATTAAATCATTCTAGGAAGAAAGTGCTCAAAAATTAATTCTACAGTGACAGTAAAGTATCAAATAAAATATTGGACCTCTTTTATCTAGCATTTATTTAAAAAGGTTTTTTTTTGTTGTTGTGCAATAAAAATCTAGAAAGTAAAAAAAACCAAAACAACCCTAAAGCACCCTCAGTTAACATTGACATTCTGGCAGCAATGATACAAAAGAGATTTCTGTTTCACTATTGCTTGCAACAAATGTGTTAGGGTTTTTTTTTTCATATTCTTTTAAATAATGATAAAAGTAAAATTGCAAAAACTATTGCTGTATTACTTGCCTCCTCTCCATGCCTTTTGAAGAAATTTTGTGTAAGAACTGGGAGCCCATAGATGAGCTGTCACATCCCAAGGCCTTACTTTACCAATGAGGGATGTATTCTGAAACATATTCAAGCCATAGCATGTCAAAAGATTTTATGTAGCATGAAAAACATCTTGTTCCTGGCCTGATGGAGGCAAAACTTACTATCTTCCTTGCATCAGTTACCATATTTGAAAGCATTGAGCGGGGGAAATAAAGATCACTTCTTATTTGAACTATAGCTCTGAGTTCTATCTTTGCACATCTCTTATTTTCTAGTTTTACTCAGTATTTCCCACAGTAAACGCAGTGAACAGAAATACAGCTCTCAGCAATGAACAGTGTGTAACAGAGCCCTATAAACACCTCAAGGAAAGGACTCAGAGAGATATTTTGCTTATGATGCCTTTGCTCTGACCTCAGGGTTAATGTTGACAATGGGTGTGAAAATAACCATGCACCAGTTCTCCTCCTCCAAGCAATTAGGTGCCTTCTGCCCTGGAACTACTTATCGCTCACATGCCTTGAATCTGCAGTTGCCACCAATGAGTTGTTCACTTAATAATACTTAAAGAGCGAAGACCACTTCTGGAACCACTTCCAAACCCAAAGTATTGTTGATGTTCCGTCAAGGCAGAATACATGTCATGTGAAAAAAAAAGGAGCAGAATGGGAAAAAGAAACTGAATCATCTTTTTTGCCCTTTAGGAAAAGTCTGTTTACAGCACCAGAAATTTCAGGAGGTTGGCTCAGACTGGTGGAAGGGGTTAAATACATTGCAGGTTCCCTACCAGAGGGCTCAGAGGCAGTCTTGGTGGCTTCTTGCATGAGACAGCGTGAGCCAAGAAGCCATGCAGCTATGTCACATGAGTGCAGCCTCTGCACTTCTGCAGCTGGTGCCTTTATTTTTCCCATTCTGTTTTCACCGCAGTTACTTCAACCTCAATTAATCTGTGTTGCACTGCTCCTGATTTTGGTTTCTCTGTGTTTACCCTACCTTTCCTGCCCCACTGTGTCCTCACATAGCAAAGAGTTCACTATATGATAAACGCTTTGGTGTATGAATTCTAACCCTGCTAGGGTCTCCTTTCCAGGTGTCACCTAAAGGGGTAACTTTTCCTCTGCTTTATCTTTTTCTGTCTCACGTGAAGCCTGCGACTGTTCACGTTTTGGCAACAACTGTGATCCCATCAGTGGTCGCTGTATCTGCCCTCCCAATACTGTTGGAGAGATGTGTGACAAATGTGCACCAAATTACTGGGGCCATGACATTGTCAGTGGCTGCAAGGTGAGTGTACCTCTATTATCTTTGTGTGTATTGCCACTTTCTCCTTGTAGCTGGAACACAATTTTAGGTTTGTTAACCATGGTTTGTGTCTGCACTGAGTTTTGCTGTCAGACAGTGATGTAAGTGTTGGAAATCTGTTACTGAATACTACAGATCCTCTGCCTCAGAGCAGCAGCCTGTAACAATGAGCACCCAGTTTATACTGCTGTCATACTGAGTATCCTGTTTGAGCTTGGTTTCTTTTACTATAAGCGTGTTTAACGTGATGGAGGAGGTTACCACAGTATTGTACAATGTGTATAGATGTACATGTGACTGACAGTACCTTTGCAGAACAAATTTACTTTGACCCTAATTGAGATACCCCTGGGAAATAGTACTTGAAGTTTACTTGAGACAACTTGTGCAGAAAAGAGGAGAAAAGAAGCAGAAGCCTTAACTGTAAAGTGCACTTTCTTCCTTTGTTCTTAAAGGGGACATAAACTTTGTTATTATCATTTAAATCCTTCTTATTCCAGTTTTTGACACAGTTAAAAAACATTCTGAAGTGAAAGGAAAAAAAGAAGAAATAGGAAAAACCAGTAGTATGTCAAAGAGGCCATGAGAGTTGCTTTTAATATCCTACTCTTGAGTGAAGGGGAGCAGTATTCAGTTAAGGTTGAAAACTGATGATAGTAAATATTTGTGCCAAGTTCAAATGCCTTCTCCTCTCTGCCGTTCTCATTGATGATGAGGGATTTATAGTGCTGCTCCAATTACTCAAAAAAACAGTCTTGTCTGAACACGGTCATACCCCATTAACACTCT